GAAAGAAGTAGTTCAGGCTGCTTTGAAGGATATGGCAAAAAAATAAGGCTCCAGGAATAGATGGTATACCAATTGACATATTTCAGTTAACAGATGCTGCCATGGATGTGCTCACCAAATTGTGCCAAGAAATCTGGAGAACGACCACTTGACCAACTGACTGGAAGAAGCTAGATCTTAGAACAATAAAATTAAGAACTGCAGATTTGGTATACAACATGCTGCAAGAACCTAATGAATCAAGCAAGATCTCTTAGAAGCAACTAGAACACTTTGGAAAGTGAAAATTAGAAAACAAGAGTTAAGAAGTGAAACCTACTCTGTATGAACATATTGCTCATTAGAACATACTTTTCTCTCCTCTTCGCATACTTCTGTTTTCAGCCCTCTGCTGCAACCTATGCTGAAGACCGATCATTTTCTCTAATCATGAGTTGTGAATGTGACAACAGATTTTACCTTTTCTGATAGATTTTAGGTCTTAATTCCTGTCAGAAATTCCTCCTGTGTGCAGTGTCATAACAATGGTACTTTGTTATGGTTCCTGATTTGGGATTGAGGTTCTTAACAAACACCCTAAGAAAGCTCTAGCTTTCAATAAAATGTTAAAAAGCTTAAGATATACAAGTATTTCCTTTTAAATGGGCCTCAGAAGAGGCCTTGGAAGGAGAGATATAATTGCTAATGATATATCTTTTAGCAATTATTACATATTTATTTGTTTAAATAAATTTAAGACATTTGTTATATAAGTCAGTTCTTATAAGAATAATATGAAAGTATGGCAAAACATTTTGTGCTTAAAATACTTTTTGAAGTTAGCAACTTAAGTATGTATATTCTTATTTATCCTCAACTTCTCAATCAAATGAACTTTTAAAAAAAATTTAATTTTAATTGAAATTTTAACTAATGTTTATAGAGAACCTAGATTTCCATTTATGGCACATCTTGACATAAAGCAAAAACCAATACCCAATTATAGGTCATACAAAGGCATTTGACTGTGGAGGTGGTAACAATTATACTAACATAGAAAAGAGTGGAACTCTGAGCACATTGAATTTCTATACTTTTAAGTAGAAGGGTTTCCTTCCATCAGGTTTAAAGACAATGTTAATAGTTAATGAAATACTGTCTGCCGAAGTTCTAGGTACATACTTGGTTTTTTAATCTTGTCACTTTATAATAATAAAATTGCTTTCATGAAGCACAATTTTGTGATTTCACAGTACTCATATTTTACAAACATCTTTTCAGGAAGGACAAAACACAGGCCCCCCACCTCTGATACCAGGCCTAGGGCAGCAGGGAGCACAAGGTCGCATCCCCTCTCTTAACCCTGGACAAGGACCTGGCCCGAATAAAGGTAAATATCTGCTTGGCTGCATAGTTTGTTAAGAGTATATTTTCTTCAGTTAGCCAGAAATGCTGAATGGGGGAGATTTGTCTGGGGAATTTAGTTGTGAAACAGCTCTTAGCATCAGTGCTTGTGCTGTAGGCTTTGGGTGCCCAGTCTGTTGGACTAAACATGATTGTTTTGTTCATTGAGTATAGATGCATGTATCTTATCCTCCTGAAGACATTTAAAGATTTAACCCCTTAATTGCATTTTCAGAGTTTAACTATATTTTAAATATCAGAGAACTATCAGAAATACAAGCTGGGTTTAGAAGAGGCTGTGACACTAGGGACATCTTGGCCCATGTCAGAAGATCTTGACCAAAAGCAGAGAGTGCCAGAGGAATGTCTACTTTGTTTTTTGACTAGGCAAAGGGACTGTGTGGGTCATGACAAATTGTGACTAACCTTGAGAAGAATGAGAATCCCAGAACACTTGATCGTGCTCATGGAATGTGGTTCAAAATCAGTAAAGGAATGCAGTCAATGATGCATACTGTCTCCATATTTTTTCAATCTTTATGTAGAACAGATCATTCAGGAGGCTGGATCTTGTGAGGAGGAATGTGGCATCAGGATAGGAAGAAGGCTTAATCAATAATCTCCATTAGGCAGATGACACAACCTTGCTTTCTAGAACTGAGGAGAACCTGAAGCGTTTGCTGAAAGAAGGACTGTAGTCTTCATTATGGAATAAAGCTCAACCTGAAGAAAACAGAGATTATCACCATTGGGCCAGCATCGTGACAGATGGACAAGAGCTTAAAATTGTTAAAAGTTTTAGTTTGCTTGGTTGCACAATCAACATTTTTGGCACCCTTGGTCAGGAAATCAACAGATGAATTTATATTAAGAAAATCTGCCTTCAGGGACCTTTCCAGAGTGCTCAAGAACAATGATGTTGGTCTAGAGACTAAGTTGCACCTGTACCAGGCCAAGGTCTTCACAATTACTTGTTAGGCATCCGGGAACTGGAGAGTGACTAAGAATGACAGAAGAAGAATCTATGCCTTTGAATTTTGTTGCTGGAGAATATTGAACACATTGTGGACTGCTAAGAGAACAAACAGGTCTTTCGTGGAGAGGATGAAACCAAGTTGCTACGTAGAGGCAAGGATTTTGAAGCTCTGTCTTTCTTGCTTTGGGCATGTTGCCAGGATGGATCAGTCCTTGGAGAAGGACATTATGCTTAGAAGGCAGGAGAGGAAAACTCCAGATTAGGTAGATTGACACAGTGACTAGGGTAATGGATGTGGGTGTGTCAGAGATAGTGAAATAGGCTCAGGACAGAGTAGGATTCAGAGCTGTTGTGCGTAGGGTTGCTTTACGTTGAAGGCAGCTATGGTGATGGTACATAACAAAAATATCTCTACTGCTCTAGAGTCATATATTAAATTCTTAGAAGTTCCACTCAAAAAGAAGAAAGGAATTGAGGTATCAAGTCATTCACATACATTTAGGGGAGCTCTGGTATCCTAGTGTGTAGGGAGTTGTACTGTTACCCCAAAGGCAATACTTCTATTTATGGCATCTACCAGCAGTTCTACAGGAGAAAGAGGGAAAGCACCTCCTGTGTGATTTACAGTCTCTGAAAACCTGCAGAAGAGTTAGCTATGAGCTATGAGTTGGTTCATGCCACAGGTAGTTTATAATATTAAAAGCAGAGATGAGAATTTGTAGTATTTATATATGGTACTGTCTGGAAGTTGAGTTATTCTCAATACTTGAGCATGAAACAAACACAGGGCTTGAGCATGAAACACAGGGAACTAAGGTCACTTGCACCTCTGATGTGATAGACTTTTACATACTTGCACCATGATAGAGTGATGTGAGTTGTTGTATCATTTTAAAGACTGTTGGAAGAGTGTGAATGGAGGGCAAAGTAGGAGATAAGTCTATACACATTTTCATAGGGGTGACATAAATTGGATATTCTGTAGATTCCACTTCAACCCACTGATGTCCTGTGATATATGTTGTTGTTAATGTACTGTTGAGTTGGACCTGACCTATAGCTGCCCTCCACTGGGTTTTCAGAGGCAGTAAATCAGAAATACATAGGAGTTGATTGCCTCTTTTTCTCCTGCAGAGCAGCTGGTGGATTCAAACTGCATGCCTTCAGATTAGCAGCGTAGCTCCTTACCACGAGGCCACCAAAGGTCCTTATGATACATATTGTTGTTGTTTGTTGTTATGTGCCATCGAGTTGACTGTGACTCATACTGATTCTATGTACAACAGCCCTAAACCCTGCTTTATCCCTTGCCAATCTTACTGTCTCTGACACACCTATCCTCATTAACCCAATTATTGACTCAATTGATCTCATTGAGGGTCTTTCTCTCCTGCGCTGTCCCTCCACTCTCACCCAACATCTCTCTCCTAGGACTGAGTCCACCTTGTAACATGTCCAAAGTATGATACATTTTAAGTTCTTCAAATTAAGAAATACTCTTATCATTGTTTATTATCCTAAAACTTTGTGAATTTAAAACCCAGTCTTGAGTTTATATGTATTAATAGATGTTAGATATCATTAATATAATGTGCAAATAAACTATTATTGAAGATTATTAAAAAACAATGTGATAGTACATCCACAGAGAATTTCCAGAAATTCAAACTGGGTTCAAAGAAGCCTTGGAAGGGGAGATGTCATTGCTGATATCTGATAGAGTTTGACTGAAAGCAGAGAATACCAGAGGGTTGTTTGCTATGGTTTTGTCAAATGTAGACATCTGTGTAGATTATAACAATTTATGATTAACATTGAGAAGAATGGGAATCCCAGAATACTTAATCTTGCTTATGCGAAACCTGTATGTAGACCACAAAGCAGTTGTCCAAACAAGGGATCATTTCCTGGGATCAGTATCAGGAACAGTGTGTATCCTTTCTTCACACCTATTGAATATGCTGAGGAAATAATTCCAGAAGCTCGACAATGTGAAGAATGTGTGACATCAGAAGTGGAGGCAAACAGCAACCTGAGATGGGCAGTTGGCACAACCTTGTTTACAGAGTGTGAAGACTTAAAGCACTTTACTGAGATCAAAGACTCCACAACCTTCAATATAGATTACATCTCAAGATCAAGGGAACCAAAAGATCGTCACCACTGGACCAATAGGGACATCATAATGGATGGAGAAAAGTTGAAGTTATCAACATTTTAATTTTATGTGGATCTACAGTTAACATGCATGGTACCAGCAGTCAAGAAATCAAAAGACACATTGCATTGGAGAAATCCTCTGTCAAGGATATCTTTAAAATCCTAAAGAGCAAGGAAATCTGTTTAGGACTTAAGGTGTGCCTGATTCATGCCATGGTACTTTTAATTGTTTGCTATACATCTGAGTAGACAGAAAGTGATGCTACCAAGCGAAAGGTGGGTGACTTTTTAGTCCATGGCCCTCGGGCCTGTCTTTCATTGTTTTTGTTCAAACATTCCTCTAGGTCATATAGCTCTGGTGTGTCAGTGGTAACTTGTGGTTGCTGTGAGGCCGAACACTGCGACGCTGATGTGTCAAATGCGTTAATGGTTGGTTACCCATGGCGGTAAAACAAGCTTGGAAGCATGAGTGGCATCCACTTAGCTTGCTTTGGGAAACCCTATGAACTTGGAAAGAGGATAAAAGACAACAAATGTTGAGGACTTTCGTTCATGGGGTCGCTATGAGTCACCTGCGACTTGACGGCACTTAACAACAACGACATACATCTGAGAGTTAGACAGTGAATAAGGATGACAGAAGAAATGATACCTTTCAGTTGTGCTGGAGAAGAGTACTGAATATCCTATGGGTTGCCAAAAGAACAAGGCTATCTTGGAGGAAGTGTAACAGAGCAATGATAGTAAAACTTCATCTCACATACGTGGTATATTTTCAGGAGGGTCCAGTCCTTGGAAAAGAGAGTATGGTGGGAAAGGTCAGAGAAGGAGAGGAAGACCCTCAAGGAAATGAATTGACATGGTAACTACCACAATGGGCTTGAGGATATGGCAATATTCAAAAAGGACCATGGAGGAGTAGTAAACTAGATGACATTCTAACAACAATATATATGAGAAGAGGAGCAATAAAGAGATTTTCCATATTTTGTTGCATGAGATAACAGGAACATTCAGGAGGAAGATGGTCAGAAGGCAGTCTTTGCTTATTAAACCATCCAGACACTGAGCCTGTTTCTCTTTTACTCCACCAGTGTGACTACTTCCACCTCTTTCACTCTTCTTGTGCTTCCCCGTTTCATATCCTTCTGTTTATCTACCCAGGAACCAAGGGAAGAGAGTAGAAGTGGGAAAATGGTCCTGCCTATCTCTCATACTAGATTAACCAATGTCTTATCAATACCTTATCACTAGGAGACAGGCCACTTCTAACTTGTAATAATGGGTTTATTTCCTTGGAAAAGCAGGATCCTTTTAAATAATTGGAAGTAATAGCAGTTAAGTGGACTATATTGACTCTCTTCTGGTCATAAGTCTGCTTTGTCTGAAGGCACACCAGGTTCTCTACCAGCTGAAGGCCGAAAAGGAACCAAAAGCATGAAGGGCACATTTGGAAGTGAGGCGCCTGTCTGTATGGTGGAGGTGAATCTGGATTATTTGCGAACTGTTTAAATGAAGGGGAAGCTTATGGAGAGAACTGGTTAGTGGAATAAGTAAGAGAAACAAGAAATAGGAAAAGTGTCAGGGGAGCACACTTGCGCATTTCTATACTGAGGTTGTCTAACTTTTTATACTTACTAAATTATAAGGAGATATTAAAGTAGCCAAGAGTAATGCACTCGACTGAGCATTAAAATAGGTTAGGAGAGTAGGAATCACCACCATCTAATACAAGAAAGGCTTTATTGGCGGGGGGGGGGGGGGGGGAAGACTAAAAAGCATGACCTGAGAAAAGTACAGGAATTACATTTAACAGTCGGGTTTTATTTTATGTTTAGAAGCAGTGCTGTCTACTCTTTAAAAATAATTTTATGAAACATAATATGTCTGTTTGATCAAATGTAAAACTGAAATGATTTGTAAACTTTCACTCAAAAAAGTAAATTAAAAGTGGTTTTATTTAAATTGAATATTTACAGAAAATGATCATCCATCCAGTAGCTACAGTAGTTCTGTATTCAGGAAAATAATCTCTTCAGAGTTCATAACTTAGTTAACCACTGCATTTAGTGGCTGTTGTTGTTATGTTGGAATCACCTTGTGGCTTAGCCTCCAGAAGGTTTTCAGTTCATTGTGTGGGAGGGTATTATATATCTTTCTCCTGTGAAGCAGTTGGTAATTTAAACTGTGTGCCTTTGAGTTGGTAGCACAGCTCCTTACCACTAAGCCACCAGAGATTCCTTTTTTAAAAAGACCTTTAGTGGGTTTCCAATGCTATATGCAAAGAATAGCAATAATATTATAGATGTTAAATATGCATAGAAAGGGACAAGGAAGATTATTATGTCAACCTTGAGACTAAAGTTAGGAAGGTTATTTGGTTACCAAGCAGTGAATGCCAATACTGCAGATCCATCTATCTTTGCTGCAGTTCAGAGAGTGAATTAATTTATCAGATTGGGTGAATTAGAAGATCAACATGGGAGTGGCACTAATTCTGGCCACCCTGATGAGTGGATATTGCAAGCCTTTCACGGGTAGAGGTGCTTGGCTTCCAGCCTCTCTGTACCTTTCCTTTTCTGCTATCTCTTGCCTTGGAGCTTGAATAGGGAAGAGAACTTTGTCAGAGATCAGATCACATGAGACTTTCTCATATTTTTTAAATTAATCTCTATAGCAGCTAGGTGAGTATTACTGTATATATTAAGAATTAATTAGGTTAACAATGAATGAATGAATTAATTAATTTGATTCATGAATGAATGAATGAGTGTACCATCAAATTGGATCTGACTGGTAGAGGAGGCGAGTGTTCCTCCTTCTTCAGCAGAGCATCTGGTGGATTTGAACCGCACACCTCTGGGATTGCAGTGCAGTTTCCTGCCACTAGGCCACCAGAGCTCACCAGAATGAGTATTTTTTTAAAAAACCCATGGCCTCCTTGTGTTTACCACAGGCTGTGTTCTTGCACTGACTGTATAGAAAGAGGAGGCAGAGTGAAAGATCCCATATACAGCTCAACCTAGGCCTTGTGCTTGGTTTGTGTTGTGAATGGGGTAACAATGGCACTAAGGTATTTAAATGCTGGCTGTCTCATTGTCAAGAAAATTGACTGGCACAGGAGTTAACTGTGGTATAATAAAAATTAAAAAAAGAAAAAATCTCACAAAAAATTGTACTGGAGGAAGGGGGGAAGAAGGGGTAAAAACTGTACAACAGTAAATGAAAATCTAACTTTTCTTTCTTTTATTTTTCTTTTTTTTAATTTCCATTCATTCATTGTTGCATTTTTCTCCCCTCCCAACCCTCTCTCTCCCCCAGTACACTCCCCTCTTGGAAAAGTAAAAGAAAAATTCTTTCATTGTTTACAATCCCTCCCTCCAGGTCCACTTCACTATGCAGCCTTCGCTCTGGACTCTCATCATGACAAAAATACCTAATCACATATCCCTTTTAAAACAGTTTTCTCCCTCATCTGATTCAATGCAGTATACATTATTAAACCCATCATTCTCAGTCTCCCCCTAACCGCAGTGTCAGTCTTGTTTTACAACAGTGGCAGCATGTAGTATTTGTCCTTTTATGACTGAGATATTTCACTCAGCATAATGTTCTCCAGGGTCACCCGTTCTGAATAATATTGCATGAGTGCCTTGTTTTTCAATGCAGCATAGTATTCCATTGTGTGGATATACCACAACTTCTCTATGCATTCGTTTGTTGATGGGCACTTAGGTTGTTTCCAACTCCTTGCTATTGTGAACAAAACCGCGATAAACATGGGTGTACATATATCTGCTTGGGTGGCAGTTATGGTCTCTTTGGGGTATATTCTGAGTAGTGGAATTGCTGGGTCAAATGGTATTTCTATTTGCAGCTTTTTGAGAAGCACCATACCGCTTTCCACAGTGGTTGCACCATTTTACATTTCCACCAACAGTGAATAAGAGTTCCACTTTCTCCACAATCTCGCCAGCATTTGTTGCTTGTGAAAATCTTAACTTTCCTGTAAACTTTTGTTAAAAATCACAATTAAAAAATAGTATTAAAAAACTTGAATCCTGAATGAATGGAAATCCAAAATCTCTGTAAATGCTCATTAAAATTATTTTTTAAAAAAAAAAACAACTTGAATCCAATAAAATGAAATACTATTTACTTTTTTTTTTAAAGGAATTAATTAGATTTCTTTGGGCAGCTCTGTGATGTGGGTAGTCTTGGCTGGACTAGTCTTTGAGCTTCGTTTTCTTTACTCCAAATGGTTTGATCTTCAAACAAAGAGAATTCATTAAGTTTAGCTACTTAGCTAATGATAATATACTGAAATCTGTACCCAAAGCTCCTGTTTTCTCCATTTCATTTGTTTAAATTTGCTCCTGGTACCAGTGAGGGATATTCTATAGCTGCTGCAGGTCACACTTGTTTGGAGTACTGGAAGACATTGTAACAGACAGCTTTGTTTTCTCTTATTAGGTGACAACCGGGGCCCTCCGAATCATCATTTGGGCCCTATGTCCGAGAGGCGGCATGACCAGTCCAGTGGCTCGGACCATGG